TGTCCAGATCTGCAGTGTTTGCAAGCCAGTACCTCCTGCCATCTTAGCCCAATTAGAAGCTCCCCTCCCTGGGCAGAGAGACGTGGAAAGGGCCCCTCCCTCCCTCCCTCCAGCTTCATATCTGTGGCTCTCGTGTTATGACAGCCTGACACTAGCCCTGTGTAATTACTGCTGTCTGAAGGAGCGAGACAGTATGGGGCAAGAGAGAGGGAGAGCAGGCAAAAAAGGTAAATGAAGGACTAAGAGGGAGGGAGAGAAGTGAGGAGAAGGAGAGGCCAGGCGGGGACGGTCGACGGAATCAGACAAGGAGGAAGAAAAGACGCGGATGAAGAGGCAGATGAGATGGAGAAATAAGAGGAGAAGAAGTGGTAGAAATCAGAAGAAGAAAGAGAGAGGGAGACAAAGAGCAGAAGGCTGGCAGACTACCCCCTGTTGTCTTTGTTTTATGTGCAGGGAATGTGTGTGTGTGTGTGAGAGAGAGAGATGGTTTGTGTGTGTGAGAGTTGTGAGTAAGAGTGTGGGTGAGCTGATAGCTGATGACAGTATCTTGTACCGGCAGAGTGGAGTCATGCTGCCATCATTGTTGCCGCTCAGCCAGAGCCAGAACATTACTCTGATGAAAGCTGTACAAATAATTCTCCTCAAGGTGATCCTAGAAATGATAATCAAGGAAGGGAATTTGTTGCAAGGCTCTGTATTATATGCAGCCATATTAACGATTTATGTTCAGTTATATTATTCAGCGCCAGAGATGCATGTTCATATAAGTGAGGGTGTGGAGATGGGCCTGGTGGACGGGCCAGTAAGTGATTTACTATACCACCATTTTTGCAGGATTGTGTCTCATACTTTTCATACTTTTCTGGGGTACGTCATGGGAAAGGAATTGAAGGAGGCATATCTCAGGCATCTCTGACTACCAGGGTGCCTATTGCTTCAGGGTTGCCCCAGAGGGAAGACACTTAGAAGCTTGGAATCAGACTCTACATATTTTGAGATGTTCATTATGTCACATTAGGTAGTCATGGTGCCTGAAATTCGAAATTGAGATTTGGTTGAGAGACACATCAGACTACAGGTTCACCCCAGCACAATCCTGACCTATCAGTTTTTCATGGCTCAGTAATAGGAAAGGAGGGACCAGAGACTTTGGCATCAGCAGGGCGTCTGAAGCGGTAAATATAAAGAGATATTTTCACTAAGGCTGAGGGAGTATATCTATCATTAAGTGGGCGGCACTAACCCTTTAAGCCTGAAATTGATATGGCTTGATCAGAAGTTGCTATATTAGAAAGATATTCACCGAACAGCCTCAGAAATGAGCTTCAGAGCAGTGTTTTTGAGTTTTTTATAAAGGTTTACGAGTATGGATATTGGCACATTTTACGCTGATGATACTTATACTCATAAAATGTACTTTACCCATACCGGATTCTAGTTCAACCCAGTACTTGCTCAACCCTTCACATTAGGCAAGAGAAGGCAAAGAAGTCTGACACGCTAGTCATGAGATGCCTAAGATGCAGAATCGATCGTCTTACACGATGACACCATACAACCCTGGCATAAGGAAATGTTCCTATGTTAAGTCAACATATGGAAAATAATTTGATAGATTTGTGAGAGACAGAAAGCTGGTAAATATACTCTGCTAATGGACTCCATTAACAGAGTTTTTTTTTGTTCTTGATTGAAAACATGACATTCAAAGGGTTATGCATTCATGTGATGAATACATTAAACTGCACCGCCTTCACCCCCAAAAGCTTTGTAAGTGTATGAGATCAAATCTGCTTCTAAACTGTATCCAAAAAAAGCAAAACTGTCTAAACACAAAGGTCCACTTGCTAGCTTTTCTGCACAGTCTAAAAAAACATCTCATCTCTTCATTAATCAATGTATTTTGCTCATTTGTCATGGAGATGGTTTAATTTAATTTAAGAGTTAATTCTTGACCTTGGAAATTTACAATGATAGTATCATCCTAATACTAGGTCTACTTTGACCTTTTTCCAGATGTTTCAAACACATCTTGTGTTCTAAAGGATCTTGTGTGTTTAAATAAGGGTTCAAAGTAAGCTTCTCTACAATTTTCTGTTTCTTCTGATGATTTTTACTCCACAGGAAGTCTCATTTTGTGCCAGCTATGAATAGAAAATTCACACAGCTATTCCAAGATATTCACTGAAAACAAAAAACGTTAACGCCTACTTGACAAAATGATTGCTCCCAAGCCCCAACTATAAACATAGAGGAAATGGGTAACAATTGGCAGCATGAGTCATCGACCACACAGTAGATCTGCTCACATAAAAGCTCTGTTTTTGAGGCAGAATTACTTTTTGAGACAGATGAATTTGGGCTTTGATTTAAATTGTGTTAAAAAAAATTGCCTGTAGAAAATTATTTTTTCTCAGATATATTATAAATGTGAAGCCTGGTGCTTGCATTGTTGCATATTAACAGCTTTTCAGGGTACAATTAGCTCTTGAAATACCAACTTGCAAATTCCAGGAGGTAAAATTCTTCAAAAGCAGAAACCTGAAGTGTGGGAGCAAAACTGTTGTTCTCTCACAGTTCAGAAGTCTTCCCCGGAGCTAACAGCCTAGCTTTCAGGCTAACCGTAACCAGCTTGCTGTGCGCTTGCTTTAAGCTCTGTACCCCACTGTAGCTTTGCATCAATCAGTAAAGTCATATCTATTAGCATTTCAATAGCTTCAAAGAAACACAGAGGTGATCCCTTTTTTATTCCCCCCCCTCTGTCGCCAGTTTTTTTCTTTTCATCCCCCTTTTCTCCCAGCTCCTATTCTCATTCTGTCTCATCCCACCTTATGCCAATTTCTGGTCTCTTGTTTTTTATTTTACTTCTCTTCTACCCCGTCTACTTTTCTTAATATCATCTCCCATTCACCCACCTCCCATCTCCTGTTGACATCATTATCTTGTTGTTTTTTTTTTTAAAAAAAAAAGAACATTAAAGAATCAGAGAATTGTTTCTTATTCGTAGCAGCGCTATCATTCTAATGTGGTCATATGTCTCAGAGAATGAAAATAAGAGGGGTGAATTGGAGCATATTAACACAAGAAAGAAAAAAGATGAGTGTGAGAGAGAAAAATAGAGATAATCAGACTAAATCATGTCCGCTTCATCTGCAATTACCTGCCGTTGCCACGCTACGACTGAACGAAATCACCGCCTGCTATTTGCAATAATGCCCCATATGTGTCCTAATACTATGGATGGCTATTAGAGCACAGAACAAAATAATTGACATTCAAATAAGAAGGGGGAAAAGGAAAAAGATTTAGTTACATGTACTGCTCCGTGGCTCATACCACTGAGTCATGGTTGTGCCAATGTGAATGGCTCATAGATATCTAATATTTGAACCGGGAATATAGAGTATTTCTTATGTATTGTTTTAAAGAATATATGAAAGAATGTTGGTTTATTACTATCATTGTGGTAGACTTAAGTTACATTTTAGTGTGGTCATCGCTCTGGTATTTTTGCACCACTTCAGTCATCTTACTTGCCAATTAACCAGCGTAGGCCCTATAGTTGAAAACATCTGTTGGTGCATTTTGAGTTTCTGTAGTTTATCTGTCCAGTCATGCTTGCACTAACTTCATCTGTTCACAAACCTCTGTTGGATGCAACCATAAAATCCTTCAGTGATCACCATTAGTAAAATTAAACTATATTTCCATAAAAATAAACAGTTGCTGAAAGGCAGCTAAAAGGAATCAATGTGTGATATCTGAAAAGGCCTGTGAGTTTTGCATCTAAAACTGTTTAATTTCACTCCTTTAAGCACTAATCTCTCAGTTGGTTTTGTGTTTTGGCTTTACTTTCTCTCAACAATACTTTATTTTTATCTAACAAATGGTTGTGGGCAGCAGAGGTTGTGGTGGGTTTGTTTCAAAGGGACTATTAGAAATCGGTTGAAAGTTGGGTGCTTTTTAACTAAAAAATGAAATATTAATTATTTTTAACCTCTAGCACTCAACACTGTGAATGCTTTAAACACTCAGCAAGCCTCAAACAGAAGTGTGTTCTTTCCATTTAAAACAATAAGGCAAAATGTGCGGTTTTAAATCATTTTGACATTGTTCTGATTTTTGCAAATTGCCAGTGACTTGTAGGCGTAAACAGAGGGGAATGGAGTGAATGGCTTCAAGGTAAAGTGGAATGCCCTGTTGTAGTTTTAGAGAGCCTCCTCCTGTGAGCCAACCAATCACCAGTAAGATGAGGCACAGTATTTAAGACTAACTAGAACAAAAATATAGTTAAAGAAGTTATTGGTTATGGATTCTCTGGCAGTAATTAACTGGTGTTTGCTAATAGAGGCAGTTTATAATGGAAACATTTAACTCATCCAAATAATATTTGCTTGAAATCTCTATTGGGTAGTCCTGTACAAAATGTTTATACATTTATGATTTATCTTCCCCGTTCAAGGCCAAATTAACTGAAATGAAAGCAATATACAAAATGAAGCGGCTGAATAAAACTATACAGAACCAAGCCAAGCATGTTTGCTCTTTTTTTTGCATATAGTCAGTCAGTCAGAAGTTATGATTGTAGGATTAGTGAATTGTCGCACAGCTTTATTGTTCCAGTCTATTTGTGATTTCGCTTTTCTATTGTTATGGTTTGGTTAAGTTTAGATGACTAAATCCACTTGGTTAAGATTAGGTAAAGATTCCCATAGGACACACAAGTCCATCCACAGTGTCAAAGTGACATGACATGTGTATGTTCAACCAAGACTGTTCATTGCTACTGAAAGAGGACGGTCATAATTTACATGACTACAGGTTGATTGGTAAGTAAATGTAAACATGGGTCATTTCAAGAATTGTAACAAACAACCAGTACTCTCTTATTTCTGGTTCACACAGTCCCGGTTAGTTAGTAAGTTCCCCATCCAGTCAGTTAGCTGCTCCGATCTGTGGGTAAATGTAACTTTAGGCCTGTTGTATTTTTGTGCTATCTGACCCCACAGACGATCACACCAGAGTCCGACTGCAACTGCTGGACGGGGATCCCCACTCTGACTACATCAACGCTAATTATATCGACGTGAGTGTTTACACACACTGATTTGTACTTTAATGCTTGTGGTAGACTGGAGAGTAAGAACCGTTGTCCCCTAGCCCCGTAGCTTAACCATCACAACTTACCTCAATCTAATTCTAACATTAACCGTAACACTAAAACTAAGTCTGAAACCTGCAACAGCCCTTTTGGAGAGGACCAGAACCACAAACTGTCCTCTGTTTAGAGGTCTAAAGCTCAAATTGGGCCTAACCAACATGGGAATAAAATCACACACATACTGACATGTAGTTAATAAAATTATAACTATTGGCGTCAGGAACATACTCAAAGCTGCAGATTTGATCCCCTGATTAGATAGAAAGATAGATAGATAGAAAGTGCCTTTGAGCAAGGTATTTAATCACAACCATTAACCAATGCTGCTTTGTTGAAATGTAACCTACCTATATATATATATAGTCTTCCGGGGTTAATCTTGTAAATATGTAATCAAACAGGGACATAGCCAGTATCTATGATGTTTACGGAATCACACACACACAGATTAGCATTAGCACATTTTTTTCCAACGTAAATTTGAATGCACAAATCCCTGAGCACACACACAGGCACACAGAGTATTAGCCAAGGTTGCCACAGCAAATTGAGCCATCTGAGTCCCATTTGTATAAAAAAAAACAATTATCTGGATGCAGGTAAAATCATTCCATCCAACCTTCCTCCTTCAATACCCTTTTTCCTCATTTACTCATCCCTCCTGCAATTTCATGTCCCTCACCTTCCCACTGTTTTCCTCTTGGTCCCCTTTTCCTTACCCATCCACCTATTTGTGTTCTCCTCCCTTCCTCTCTGCCCTCTGGGCGTTGTGCTTCGCTTTTCGATGTAATCTCTTGCTCACAGTTGACTGTTTTAACAGCCTTAATGAATTGGAACATAACGTCTATCTTCAATCAAGCTCCATAGTGTCTCCACAGACACAATTTAAGAAGAGAAGAAATGGGGAGAATTGGAAAATTGAAAACGAAACAATACATTCCCTCAGTGAAGACAACGCCATATTTATAACATGGTCTTAATGACAATACGAAAGTGATAAATGTTTTTATCTTAGCAAGGTTATCTGTTTTATAGGGAGATGTTGGGGTGAGGAGGGTGTGTAGGGACAAGAGGGGAGATAATAAATGGCTTGAGAATCGTCGCTTTTCATCTCTCCCGTGGAGGGAAAATTAAGATCCCCTCTATTATTTAATTTGATGTTTATTTGGAAAACGACCTTGAGTTATGTTTCTGGAGGGAGTTGAGGGAATGGAGAGCGAGAGAGAGAGAGAGAGAGAGAGAGAAACGGGACAAATTAAAAGAGAAAAAAGGGTGGGAGGGGGAAACTGAAAAGAGGAGGAAGAAGCAGATAAACTGGCAGATGGATAGGGGGGCAGGAGTAATGAGAAAAAGCAAGATAGAATGGGAGGATTCAAGAAAAGAGGAAGGAAGGTGGATAGAAAGAGAAGCAGAAATGTATTGAAAGGCAGAGTAAGAACAAAAGGAGTGAGGAAGGAGGAGTGAAGTAAAAAGGAGAAAGGAAGTAATCACCTCAGCAGGAGAAAAGGGGAGGGATTTCAAAAGTGAAAGAATTGGGAGAAGAAATGATGGAAGAGGGATGAAAAGTTGGAGATACAGATACAGTAGAAGTTTTAGTTAGTTTTATGGTACAAAGCTAAAAGTGAAGAAAATGAGATAAAGTGATGGAGGGACAGTCCATGGAAAGTAAAAAGGGCATGTAATGATAAAGTGAAAAGGATATGGGGAAGGAGAGATGTACAGAGGATAGGGAGGGAGGGCCGGAGGTGTTACAATTGGTTAAAAGGAGTTCATCTGTTGATTTATAATTGCAATTGTAATATTTTACTTATATGGGAAGATGCAGAAGAATAGATAACCTGCACAAAGGTGAAAGGAAGGATAGAGAGAAAAAAATACATATAGAAAGATGAGGTGAAGGGGAGAAATAAAGAAAAAAGAAAGAAAAGAAAATTGAAACAGAAAAAGTAATACACTAAAAATAGAGAAAATAAGGACTGTGGAGGAAAAAATTTAAAATATGGGTGGAAAAAGATGGAGATGACGAAAGTATGGAGAGGTCTTTTTTCATGCTTCACTTTTTTTCTGTCTCACAGGGGTACCATAGACCCAGACATTACATCGCCACACAAGGTAATTAAACTGACGTGATGGCTGTGTGTGAGAAGACTGCATGTGTGATTCTACATTTGTGCAGATACAAATGTGTATGTGAGCATCTATGCAAGTGTGTGTGTGTGTGTG